CCTCTGGGCCCGCCGACGTAATAAACCTGAGTTTTCCAACTCTCTGAGTGTGGTAGATGTGGCGAAGCCTTGATTCTGTATTCAGACCTAACTAATCCTCAGGTAATTCTGAATTGAAATCTTACCCTCGTAATGCATGTGGTAAGGCTTTTGGAAGGCATTCAGTTTTTTACAAAACATGAGAAAATACATACTGGTGAGAATCCATACATTCAGAACACAGTTTTCCTCCAGTTTGACTTTTCTGAAGGCCAAAAACTTCATATACTTTACTGCATTCACTACATTTGTAAGTTTTCACTGCAGTATTGATTCTCAGGGAGGACTCTGCCTCTTCTTGAATGAAGAATGCTGCTTTTATGTAAACCAGCCAGGAATAGTCAGGGACATAGCCCAACAGCTAAGGGAATGAATCATTAAAAGGAGACAGGAACTAGCGAATTCCTGGGCTAACTGGAACACTATCTGGAGCTGGGCATCGTGGCTTCTCCCTTTAACCAGTCCTCTCTTCATGTTCTTTGTGGCGCTCTTCTTTGGCCCTTGTATTCTCAATGCAATTACACAGTTCATAGCCTCTCGGAAAGAATCCATAAAGTTACAAATGGCAATAGCTCAATATAGCCCCCCTTAACGATGGAGAGCTCTGAATGTCCTACCAAACATGAGATGACGCTTTGTACAATGAGTGATAGAAGCATCAAGAGGGGGCAATGAAGAGGAAAAGTTAAAATTTTACCTCTTTCTCCTCCTGCCTTTGTAACTCAGCTTGCTCCTTGCAAAGTGTACATCTTGTAGGTCTCAGAAAGTGGGGACTCACAGTACTAGGAACTGGAGCTTATCTCTCTCACCCTTGTCCTGCTCTTTGCAATTGCCCTAGCCCCTGCAAACCTACTTAATCATGCCTGTCCATGTAGAAAAACTCTAACCCCTTTGTTCAGGGCTCAAAGCTAAGAGTGTTAAAACCTCTGGGCCCGCCGACGTAATAAACCTGAGTTTTCCAACTCTCTGAGTGTGGTAGATGTGGCGAAGCCTTGATTCTGTATTCAGACCTAACTAATCCTCAGGTAATTCTGAATTGAAATCTTACCCTCGTAATGCATGTGGTAAGGCTTTTGGAAGGCATTCAGTTTTTTACAAAACATGAGAAAATACATACTGGTGAGAATCCATACATTCAGAGCACAGTTTTCCTCCAGTTTGACTTTTCTGAAGGCCAAAAACTTCATATACTTTACTGCATTCACTACATTTGTAAGTTTTCACTGCAGTATTGATTCTCAGATAATCTGCAAAGTCATTCCTTGTGACTGCAGGCTTTGTCATATAAATTTCATTTGTGTGGTTTTGTTGCAGAAACCAGTACTCAAGAAACCAAGCACCACACTATCCAAGGACTTCACAGATGACATTGAGAGAGTAGCCACATCTTTAGTGGCCTTACAGGACCAACTAGATTCCCTGGCTGAAGTGATTGGCCTATAGGATTGGCTATCTATACATTGTTTTAGCTGATGGTTAAGTAAGGGATTTTCCAAGGGTTGACTGTAATGTTGACAGGTGCATGATGGATAAGGAACGGCACTATCTGTTACAGCAAGGGACATCAAAAGGCTGCAAAGCAGCCTGCACATAACAGGTAACTGAGCAGTAGTAAAAGGTTTTCTCTGCATCTTTGGGTTGTCATGGCTATAGTAACTGAGCCTATCATGAAGGGGGGTCAGTGATACTGTGGAGCAATTTAGTTAGTAGGGAGAATTGATCATAAGAGATATCTAATAAGAATGAGGCTTCCCACTATGGTGAGATGACAGAGCGCTAACCGCAGCTGCTGACCCAAAGCCCAGTCCTGGGCTGTGACTGAAGCCAGTCCTGTAGCAAAGAGCACAGCAATAATACCAATCAGGGATAGAGGCCAGGGTTGACAATAAACATCCATTGATATTTTGATAGCCAGATCCTTAAGCTTCTGCCATGCGTTGACCAAACAGCTGCCAGAGTGTGGCTGGAGCAAGGCTGAAGAAGCCTCAAGTTTCTGCCTTGCATGGACTAGTCAGCTTCTGAAGTGACTAGAGCAGGGCTCAGCATATTTTGTGTGTGAGTGCCATTGTTCTTGGAACCAGACCTTGAGGGGATTTTCAGGGTCCCAAACTGTTTTCCAGGTGTCCTCATTACAGGAAGCCGCTGCCTTCTTGACTCTGGTGTTGTGGATCCAAGGGATGATGCCTATAACTTTAACAGCAGTAGGGGTTGCCAGGACAACCGTGTGAGGGCCTGTCCCAACTTGCTGACGTGGTTCTTTTTTTCAATCTTTAACCCATACCTCATCTCCTGGCTGATAGGGATGAACTCAATTGCCCAAAGGAATGGATGTCCTTTCTAAGGTTTCTCAGGCAATATGGTGGAAGACTTTTCCCAGGACCTGGAGGTGTTGGGACATCTCCAGGTCAGCTAGTTGTTGGGGGTTTCCCTTGAGTTTTCCTATCACTGGGGGCTTTCTCCCATATAAGATCTCAAAGGGAGAATAGAATGAGGACTCAGGGTGCATCGGGCTTGGAGTAAGGCTGGGGGATAACATGTCGATCCAAGATAACTGGTCTCTTGACTGAGTTTAGGTAATGTAGTCCTGAGTGTACAATTCATGCGTTCAAACTTTCTCTGATCTCTGTGGCCTGTAAGCAGTGTGAAGCTTCCACTTGATTCCCAGTGTCCTGGATAGAGTTTGGATTATCCCAGACACAAAAGCTGGCCCATTGTCAGACCCTATGGAGAGAGAGGCAGCCCATATCTCAGGATCGTGTCTCTTAGTAAGGCCTTGTTTATTTCTCGTGCCTGTTCAGTGCGTGTGGGGTACGCTTCAGCCCAACTCGAGTAGGTGTAGACTACCATAAGGAAATACTTGTAGCCCCTATAGGGCTTGACTTCAGTAAAGTCCACTTCTAGATCTTCAAATGGCAGTGTCCCAACTGTCAGCACCCCTGCGTTGGGTCTAGGTTGTTGCCTGGCATTGTTTTGCACACAAGTCACACATCTAGCACTGATCTGGGAACACAGGGTTGGGAGCTTAGGAAAGAAATAGTAGTGGCTCAGTAAGCTCTCCAGCACAGTCTTTCCTAAACGAGTTTTCTCATGATGCTGTTTTACCAGCTAGATTTCTATATTGCTGGGGACATTTCTATATTGCTGAGTCCTTGGTCTGGGAGCTTCTACCAGCCCTCCTTTTCTTTTATTCCTCCCTCATTTAGAGCCCATTGATCTTCTTCCTTGGTATATCTTGGGGATGGAGGCAATTCTGGTGCCAAGAGGGCCTTAAAGATTGACTTGGGGCTCACTGTGGGGCTCGGATGGGTTGCTGTCTCCTTGGCAGCCTGGTCAGTCAACCGATTTCCCTTGCTGACTGGATCAGTTCCTCGCTGATGGCCTTTACAATGGATGACTGCCACTTGGGAAGGCTTCTAGACTGCTTCTAACAGCTGAAGGATTTCTTTTTTGTTTTTTAATCTCCTTTCCTCCCACTGTCAATAGTCCCCTTTCTTTATAAACGGCTCCACGTACATGTAAAGTAGCAAAGGCATACCTTGAATCAGTTGACTCCTTTCCGTTAGGCGTGTCTTAGTGCCTGGGCGAGTGCCCATAGCTCAGCCTGCAGTGCTGACCACCCCTGTGGAAGGCCTCGGCCTTCACTATCTCATCAGTTGTCGTTATGGCAGAGCCTGCTTTGTGCTGCCCGTCTTGGATGAAACTGCTTCCATCAGTGAACTGTTCCAGTTCTGGGTTCGGGAGGGGAGTGTCCGTCAGGTCCAGCCTGCTAGAGTAAATTTCATCTCTGAGCTCCTCACAGTTATGATCGGGGGTTCTCACTTCTGTAGGTAAAAAGGTGGTGGGGTTCAGTGTCCGCACAGTCTCAAGTTGGACCCGTGGGTTTTTGCAAAGCAGTTCTTCATAGTGAGTCATCCTGGTAGGAGTTGGTCAACCACTTATGCCCCTGGCTGTTCATCAGGGCAGTAACAGCATGCGGAACGTTTACATTTATATTTTGTCCTAGAGTAAGCTTATCTGCTTCTCTGACCCAAACCACAGTGACAGCTAATGCCCAGAGGCATAGCGGCCATCCTGCGGCCCCTGGATCCAGTGGTTTGGACAGGTATGCCACTGGGCGCTGCCGTGGCCCAACTGTTTGTGTGAAGACCCCCAGTGCAGTGTGATTTTTTTTCATGTACAAAGAGGTTTAAGTCCCGTGTCACATCCAGCAGCCCTAATGCTGGAGCACTGGTCAAGACTCACTTTATCTCCTTAAAGGCCTTTTCCTGTTCAGGTCCCCACTCCAGGGGGTCCTTATCAGATCCTGCTGTGGCTTTAAACAAAGGCTTGGCAACTTCAGAGAAACCCAGTATCCAGACCTGGCAGAATCCAGCAGCCCCGAGGAACTCACTGATTTCTTTCTTGGTGTTCGGCCGAGCTGTTGAACAGATGGCTTGCTTTCTCTCATGCCCTTTTCCCATGATGCCTTGTGCCCTGTGGTGGAGAGTAGAGCCAGCAGGGCTCTGGGGCCTCCAGCAGTCCCCTGGGTGGGACCGGCTAGCAACAGCTCATCCACGTACTGGAGTGGGGTGCAGTTGAAAGTTTCTCCAGGAAATGCAGCAAGGTCCACAGCCAGGGCTTCACCAAACAGGGTAGGTGAGTCTTTGAAGCCTTGTGGCAGTCGGATCCAAGTCAGCTGTGTCTTTCTCCCGGTGTGTGGCTCTTCCCATTCAAAGGCAAACAAGGACTGGTTGGTTGGTTGGTCGGAGGCAGAAGAATGCATCCTTGAGATCCAGGCAGGTGAACCAGCTTGTCTGAGCCGGTAAAAGACTTAGGAGAGTGTAGCGATTTGGGACCACTAGGTGGATGGTGACCACTGCATTGTTGACAGCGCAAAGGTCAGCAGTGGGCAGGGCTGTAGTCGTTCCCTCCAGACTTTTTGACTGGTAAAAGCGGAGTGTTCCAGGGAGACAGACATTCGATTAGGATCTCGGCATCTCGTAGGCGCTGGATGTGGTCCCGAATTCCCAGGCCTGCTTCCCGTGGTACTGGATAGTGTTTCTAACGGGAGTGACTTCTGGCCTCAGGTCCACTACAATAGGCATATAGTTTCTGGCCAAACCTGGGCCCCTGATGCCCAGACATCAGGGAATTCTTTTAGCAGTCTGGAGGGATTTATTTGTTCCCTCCCCAAGGAATAGAGATGCCACTCATCTTCCCTGGGCCCGGGCACTGCCATCATCAGAGCTGACTGGCTCCCCAAGGTCAGACTTGCAGGCTTTCTGGGGGCAAAGGTGATTTCTGCCCTCAGTTTTGTCAGTAGGTCTCTACCTAGCAGGGGAATGGGGCATTCTGGTAAGTAGAGAAATTCATGAGTCACCAGATGGCTCCCTAGCTGACACAAATGGGCCTTGCAAAATGAGCAGGCTGCTATGTCCCCTGTGGCCCCAACAATAGTTGCTGTTCGGCCTGTGAGGGGAGCCACAGGTGTGATTACCACGGAGTGTTCATTTCTGGTATCCACCATAAAAGTCATTGATTGGCCCCTTACTTTCATCGAGACTGCGGGCTCCCGGGGGCCCAGGATCAGGGAGCCCGGTCTTTCCTAGTATGATTCTGCTCTAGCCAGGCCGAAAAGGTTTTGGAAAGTTGGCTCAGGCTGGTACCTTTCTGTGCTGGGTCGACTGAACTTCTTGGACCCTTTAGATGTCCCTCTGCAATGGGGGCACTCATTCCTCCAGTGTCCCGTCTCTTTGTAATGGGCGCACTGGTCATGGCATAGAGGTGGTCTCTTCTTAGTTTCCGCTGCTAGCAGGGCTGCTTTCTGTTTCATTTTTTTACCTGCTTCTTTTGGGCTTCACGGTCTCAGTTCACAAAGACTTTATTTGCTATCTCCAGGAGCTGTGTGACATTCATACCAGCTGAAGCCTTCCAGCTTTTGGATCTTTCGTTGGATGTCTGCACAGGATTGAGCCACAAAGGCAGTGTTAATCATCCATTGATTCTCAGCTGTCTCAGGGTCAAACAGGGTCTATGTCTGGAACACTTCACAGTCTTTCACAGAAATTCGTGGGGGTCTCATCTGCTTTTTGGATTATCATTGTAATTTTGGACATACTGGTGGGCTTTTTGGCTCCCACTTAAAGTCCATGTAGAAGGGCATCACGGTAGCGACCCAGGGTTTCTTGTCCTTCTCTGGTATTGAAATCCCAATTAAGTCTCATCTCTGGCATTGCTTCTCATGCTCATCCTTCTACATCTAAGCCCTCTGCGGGGGCTTGTCTTCATAGCCATTTTCAGGCTTCTTTCGCGATGCGTCCTTTCCTCAGTGGTGGAGAGAGCCATAAGGAGCTGATAACAGTCGTCAGTCCCAGGTAGGCTGATTAGTGTGGAAAATGGACTCCAGGAAGTCAATCATAGCCTGTGGTTTATCAGAGTACACTGGGTTATGGTGTTTCCAGTTTAGGAGATCAGTAGTGCTGAAGGGCTGGTAATAGAAGATGAAGTGACCAGGCTGGACTAAGCCATCCTTGTCCACTTGTTGAGGACCTTGATTTTCTCACAGCAGCATCTGATGGGCTGTGGCCAGCTGGTTAGATTGTTTGGCTGAGCAGAGCTGCTTCTCTACTGGCTCAGGGCTGGAGTCTTGCTCATGAGGTGATGTGGGGGGACACAGAGGGAGGTGGACTGTCTGGCAATGGGTCCGGCACTAGCTGTGCCAGGGCTTGGGGAGTCAGGGCAATGTATGGTGGGGGCAGTAGTGGATGTTCCACTGGATCTCCCTGGAATGTAGGGTTTTTTTGCTGCTGCTTTCTTTTTTCTGAGTGGTTGGCCACAAATACCCTACTCTGTCCCTGTATGTTTGTGCAAAATCTTGCCCACAGGTCCAGGGTTTGTGCTATTAGAAGCCAGGAGTGTGTGTATGGAAACTGATCTGGATGTCCTGGAGACCCAGTGACTACCTGGTGCACTACTTAGACGGTGGGCAGCCATCCAATGTCAAAGGATGGGCAATCAAGCTCACATGTTATTAAGCTTCCTGAGGGTCATCTTGACACCTTAATCTCCTAAGAAGCCCTTCTTGAAATTCTTTATCATGCAATCTAAAACTGTTGGCTTAAAGGAACTCCTACCCATGTTGACACATGTAATCTACCTCGCAGTGTTTTGAAGAAAACCTAACCTTTTAGATGTCTGCTCAAGCAGTCAGTCGACAGAATAACCAGTAACCAATAATTTCTTCCTCCCTGTGTATCCCGCCCCGAGTCGGTGGCACAAAGACAAACAAGGGTGGGTGCCCCCTCAAAAGAGGAGACCATTTGGATGGCTGTTTGGCTGCGTCCCCAGGAGGAACTTAGGTGCCTCTTAGCACTGGTGGATCAGTATAAACCCCTGATCCGGATGTGTCTCGCAGGGAGGGACAGTGTCCCCAAGAGGCAGACACAGCCTTGAGCCATATGAGGTCGCCACAGAACTGCAAGCTAGGGCCCACTCATACTCCATAGCCATGAAGGCCATGAAGGCCACGAAGCCACACAATCGAGCCTGAAGCACCAGCGAATCAGGTCGTACAGTCGTTCATTCATTATTTGTCCACCTGGCTGCTCTCCCGAGGGAGATTTAAGACACCTCTTACCACTGGCAGGTGGGTATAAATGCCTGACCCAGACCAGCCTCACAGGGAGGGATCAAATCCCCTAGAGACTGGCACCACCTTTCAGCCTTATGAGGTCGTCATGGAACCACAGGTTTTGGACCCTCCCAGGCTCCATAGTCTGAGGACTGTGGAGCTCACTTTTACTTCCTCCAGTCAGCAATCATGCATACACAATCACTCAGTTTATCACAATATGTCCCTTTTCCCAAGTTCCCTTCCCAAGGAGGTGATCAGCCTCCTCTTCTACCCATTGGGGTAGGACCTCCTGACTGGGGACCAGCCCTGGGGCCTTACCTTACCCTGCGGCTGTTCCTGGTGAGTCCAGTTGGGGTTTGACCTTCTGGAGAGTTAGAATGCCAGTCCAAAAGAGAACCTGAAATATCATGAGGTGGTGCGCCTCCTCATTCAACTTCAGGCTCCTCTGCTCTGACCCAACCAAGCCACCCGTCTGGCAGCTCAAGGGGCCAGTGTGGGTGGAACCTCGCTGGGGCCTCCAGAAATGCTGCGGAAACCAGTACTCGAGAAACCAAGCACCACACTTGGAGAGTTGGAGAACTGAGGTTTATTACACTGGTGGGCCCAGAGAAGTTAACACTCCAAGCTCTGAGCCCCGAACAAAGGGGTTACAGAGTTTTTATACATGGACAGGCATGGTTAAGCAGGTTTGCAGGGGCTAGGGTGATTGCAAACAGCAGGACAAGGGTGAATGGGATAAGCTCCAGTTACTAATATTGTGAGTCCCCACTTTCTGAGACCTACGTGATCCAGACTTTGCAAGAAGCAAGCTGAGTTACACAGGCAGAAAGAGGAGGTAAAATTTTAACTTTTTAATTTTAACTTTTCTCTCCTGTATGAATTGCCCAATGGTCAGTTAAGGCTGAACATGAAATAGAAGCTTTGCCACATTCATTTCATTTGTATGCTTTCTATACAGTATGAATACCCTGATGAATTATAAGGCCTGAACTCTAACTAAAGGCTTTGCCACACTCATTACATTTGCACTGTTTCTCACAGTTGTTCCATTTGTAACAGCTTTCTCCACTATGAATTATCTGATGCTTCCTATGATGGTCATTTCAAGTACCAGCCATACATCACATTTCTATGCTTTCTCTCCTGGAAGAACTGCCTGATGGTGAGTTAAGGCTGACTGTGCACTAAAACCTTTGTCACAACTCTTACACTTGTAAGGTTTTGATAACTTATTGTGACTAGTGTGGGATTCGTGATCTCCGAAGATTTAGCTTTGGGACCAGGGACCAGGCTTGATCATTCAAGAGCCTTTGTGTAGCAGTTTTTAAAGTGAAAAAGGGACAGAGAAAACTGACATAGACATCAGAAGGGGGATGGAAAGTGCCCCCCTGTGAGTTTTAGCAAGCTGTTTTATGTTGGTTAGAAAGTTATTCATCAGCGACACCTCAAGGCTGAAGGAGTTTCAGCAGGCCCCTTTCCCACAATACGCATTTTTGAGATAGGATGGCAAGAGGTGTGTCATCCCCCAGCCATAAAACAGCTGATACAAATACTGTTTTGTTGAGCTATCATCAGCCCATGGTTTGATGACAGTCAAATTTGATGACAGTCTTAGGAGGGATCATTTTGAAGAAAGGCCAATTCCAAAGCAAATACATAGTTTCATTAACATAGCTTAAGAAAAACATTTCCGTAAGAAAAATGCTTGAGGTTTAGCTCGAGATTAGAGAAAAATTAAGTTCAGGTGGAACCAGGTGTCATTATAGCAACACAGAATTTTAAGAGAGACTTGCAGCCTATTTCCTNGCCGCACACATCACATTTATATGGTTTCTCTCCAGTATGAAGTCTCCAGTGAACTGCAAGTTGTCTGTTTCGAGTATAGCCACGGCCACATACATCACATTTATATGGTTTCTCTCCAGTATGGAGGATCTGATGAACTGTGTGGCTTTCTTTGCGAGTAAAGGCCTGTCCACAGAGATCACACTTATATGGCTTCTCTCCAGTATGAACTCTCCGATGAATTCCAAGTTGTGATTTTTGAGTATAGCCACGGCCACAAGCATCACATTTATATGGTTTCTCTCCAGTATGAAGTCTCCAATGATGTGCAAGTTGTCTGCTTCGAGTATAGCCACGGCCACATACATCACATTTATAAGGTTTCTCTCCAGTATGAAGGATCTGATGAACTGTGTGGCTTTCTTTGCGAGTAAAGGCCTGTCCACAGAGATCACACTTATACGGCTTCTCTCCAGTATGAACTCTCTGATGAATTCCAAGGTCTGACTTTCGAGTATAGCCACGGCCACACACATCACATGTATATGGCTTCTCTCCAGTATGAACTTTCTGATGAATTGCAAGTTGTCTGCTTCGAGTATAGCCACGGCCACATATATCACATTTATATAGTTTCTCTCCAGTATGAAGGATCAGATGAAGTGCCCAGCTTTCTTTGCGAGTAAAGGCCTTTCCACACACATCACATTTATATGGTTTCTCTCCAGTATGAGTTCTCCCATGATTTTGAAGGTGTGCATTGTGCTTAAAGCAGTGGCCAAATACATCACAGTTATATGTTCTCTCTCCAGCATGAACTCTCAGATGAATTTGAAGCGCTGTGTTCTGTTTAAAGCTGTGGCTACATACATCACATTTATACGGTTTCTCTCCAGTATGATGTCTCTGATGAACTACAAGGCTCACATTATCATTAAACCCCTTGCAACACACGTCCGCTTTATATGGTTTTCTTCCTGTATGGATTCTTTGATGTCTAGTGAGTTCTGAGTGCTGAAGAAAGGTTATGCCACACTCATTACTTTTGTAAGATTTTTTCTTGGGTCCTTTCTGGTCGAGGGCCTGTTCTGAGGGATGCGTAACAGCACACTCATTTTTATGAGAAATGCCTTTGCAGACATTATGAATTCTCTGAGGTGGCAAAACTGAGACACTACTGTTGATACTCGTCACAACCTGACTACATTCACAAATTGTCCCTTCAGACTGAAGCATCTGCAATTCATGATGAAAGTTTAATCCATGCTTTTCAACAGGCTTTTCTCCTGCATCATTTCTATTCTGATGATCTTTTCCATCAGTGAGATTTTTGTTATGGGATATAGATATTCCATTGTCTCTTCTTTCATTATCTGTCCACAGACTCTCAAAACCATCCACAGTTTCCTGTATCTTCCTGAGGAAAAAATCTTTAATTTCATGAGTTTTGGCTCTCCCAAATATCACTCTTTGAAAAATTTCTCCTTTTCCACTGTTTCCTTTTACTTGTAATTTCATGGTCATATCTATACGAGACACATCTACAAGATATAAAGAACCATAGGAATCCTATTAATCACAATTCATAAATAAACTTTTTCCTGTTGAACACATGATATTATACCAAAAGTCCTACCCATCCTAAACTGTATTATGAATCTCCCCAATGATGAACTTAAAAACATAAGGAACACTATCGGAATACAACTCTTTAAAAAAGAAAAGAGCGATCACACAGAATTCAAATTAATTTTAGGATACCCAAGTTTGAAAGACACAATCAGGAAAACATTCATTGTATGCAAACCCATGTCAGTTCTCAAATAAAAAGATCTTTTCTCACCACGATCTCAAAGCTCGTTCTACTTGGTAGTAAATACACTTCTGTCTCATAATTGAGGATAAAAAAATAGTAAAAATTCCACAGACAGGTAGATTGGCGGGCTACAGTCCATGACACCACAAAGTGTCAGACAGGACTGAGCAATCAGCAAGAAAGGATCAACAAGGCAATACACTGTAATGGTAAATAATCTGAGGGAAGTATTCTAACAAATACTGTAAAACATAAATGGCAGTTGACAACTGTTCAACAAATACTGCATAGTGAAAATAAAGAATTTGTTAAAACAGCCCCCCTCTCCATCAGGGCTTATGAGATTTTAGTTCCCTAACCATGGATTAAACCCAGGATCACTGCAGTGAAAGTGATGAATCCTATCCACTGGACTGTCAGTGAATTCCCTAAAATAATTTTTACAAAAAAGAACACTTTTCTAAATACCTCCTATAAATCTATAAGGAAACAGACAAATAGATACTTTATAACAAGTCGTTCATGTCATACTGTGTAAAACATGAAGACCATCATCTTTAAATGACAAAGAATTAATAAATGAAACAATCTCTACTTAAATAATAGCCACTCAATATAGCAATTGCCTATCCATATAGTATCATTCACTTACTCGGTTCATCGGCTCTAAGATACATGTAAAGGAACAAGCTTTAGGGCGTTTCTTATGGCTAAGAGGTAAAGAATCCGCTATAAAAGAGTAATATTATTTGAAAATTTATTAACTAGAGTCACAAACTCTTGGGAAGGAAATGTAAACTAACAATATATAGGATGTAATGCAGAGAACAGACATGTCACAATAACCATGCTGCTGCTGCTGCTAAATCACTTCAGTTGTGTCCGACTCTGTGTGACCCCATAGATGGCAGCCCACCAGGCTCCCCCGTCCCTGGGATTCTCCAGGCAAGGACACTGGAGTGGGTTGCCATTTCCTTCTCCAGCGCACAAAAGTGAAAAGTGAAAGTGAAGTTGCTCAGTCGTGTCCAACTCTCAGCGACCCCATGGACTGCAGCCTACCAGGCTCCTTTGTCCATGGGATTTTCCAGGCAAGAGTAATGGAGTGGGGTGCCATTGCCTTCTCACATGAAGTAAATATACATTTTAAGCAAAAGTAACCTTTGAGGCCAGACATCCTGGAATGTGAAGTCAAGTGGGCCTTAGAAAGCATCATTACGAACAAAGCTAATGGAGGTGATAGAATTCCAGCTGAGTTATTTCAAATCCTGAAAAATGATGCTGTGAAAGTGCTGCACTCAACACGCCAGCAAATAGACTGTCAGGGAATTTCCTAAAATAATAAAAAAAAAAAAAAAAAAAAAAAAACAGTTTTCTAAATACATCCGATTAACCTATCAGTAGATAGACATACAGGCATTTTATAACAAGAAGCGTTTCATGTCAGTTATACTGTGTAAAACATAAAGACCGTCATCTTTAAATAACAAAGAATTAATAAATGAAACATTCTCTGATTAAATAACGACCATACAATATTGCAATTGCCATTCTATACAGTAACCTTAATTTACTCAGTTCATCGGCTCCAAGATACATGTAAAGGACCAAGTTTTGGGGACTCCCTGTGGCTTAGAGGTGAAGAATCTGCCTGCTGATGCAGGGCACACACCTGATCCAGGAAGTTCCCACATGCCTCGCAGTAACTAAGCCTGTGGGCCCCAACTGAAGATCCTGTACTCTCAAGTTCGGGATTCACAACTACTGAACACATGTACAGAGCCCACATACCACAAAAAGAGAAAGCACTGGCATGAGGGGCCTGCGCATGCAACTAGAGAGTAGCCCTTACAACTTATGCCAAAGCTGAAATTCCAACACTTTGGCAACCTGATGCAAACAACCAACTCATTGGAAAAGACCCTGATGCTGGGAAAGATTGAAGCCCAGGAGGAGAAGGGGATGACAGAGGTTCAGTTGGTAAAGAATCCTCCTGCAATCTGGAAGTCTGGGTCCGATCCCTGGGTTGGCAAGATCCCCTGGAGAAGGGAAAGGCTACCCACTTCAGTATTCTGGCCTGGAGAATTCCATGGATTCTATAGTCCATGAGGTCGCAAGGAGTCCAACACGACTGTGCAACTTTCCCTTTCATTTTATGCACCTCATGGTAGGAGAGAGAAGGATCCAGCCTCTCATCCAGCAAAGCAGATTTTTATCCTTTCTCAATGGGTGAGAATCACAAACATTCAGTAACTTCTAAAGGTACAGCCCTCTTCAATTTAAGGTTCCAATTCTCACACCATCCAGTGAAGGCATTCCATGTATTAGCTAACTAGTAGAAAGGCGAATCTTCACATTAGGGAATAAAAACTTCATCAACTTTAACCTCTTTCTTCTTACAGAGTGGCATTTTGTCTCACAAATACTGCTCACAGGGCCAATTAAAGTTTTGCAAAAGTTGTCACTTTCGTCTCAGGTTCAAAGATTTGTTAACAAAATAAGCCACTCATTCTGTAGAAATAAATAACACAAATTCTTATTATAGAATTATCTAGCTAACTTTCAATATGCTATCAATAAAAGCAAAGAGAAGTAGAAACAGCAGAAGATACATCACCAAATTGGGTTCTGACCAACATCCAGACTCATATAGTGCTGGGAAGTCCCGGGACACAGCCCATCTGGAGACCCAGTGGGGAAAAGGTCCCAGGCACCGTGTTACATTCATGCATGAGACTTCAAAGATTGCAGTTCTGGGTTCCCATTTATAATCTTAGGGCACTAACTGATATCATCAGGAACCTGTGAGCAAATAGCAGCTCTGGTTGCATGTTAATGCTATTTGTTTGTCTTACAAAGCTTATAATGTTGCTAAGCCTGCGGCTGAGTAGGCCAGGCCCCCCAAGGGCTCAACAATCTCAATATTTGTCCCCTATCTTATGTCTGGGGCTGCAAGCCTTGCACTCACAGCAGGCAGTCAGGGGAGTGTCCAGGCAGGTTAGAAGCAAGCTCAGAGGCCTGCTTTAGGGAGGACCTAGACCCTGCGCCTCTTGCATTGCCAGGTGTAGAATCCCACCTCTTTTGTCAGCCAAGAAGTGATGGACATTTTGGACGGACAGAAAAATATTCACAAATCAATTTACTATCGGCTTCCTTCTTTTTTTTATCCCATGTATCAGCTAACTAGTAGTAAGGCAAATCTTCCTATTAGGGAATAAAAACTTCCTCAACCTTAACCTCCTTCTTCTTACAGAGTGGCATTTTGTCTCACAAATACTGCTCACAGGGACAATTAAAGTTTTGCCAAATGTTGTCACTTCCTTCTCAAAGATGTGTTAACAAAATAAGCCACCAGTTCTGTAGAAATAAATAATACAAATACTTTTATAGAATTATCAAGCTGACTTTCAATATGCTAGCATTAAAAGAAAAAAGAAGTAGAAACACAGCAGAAGATATATCACCAAATTGGGTTCTGACCAACATCCAGACTCAAACAGTGCTGGAAAATCCCAGGACACAGCCCATCTGGAGACTCAGTGGGGAAAAGGTCCCAGGCATCGTGTTACGGTCATGGGTGAGACTAAAAGATTGCAGTTTGGGGTTCCCGCTTATAATCCCAGGATGCTAACTGTATTCATCAGCAATCTGTGAGCAAATAGCAGCCTTGGTTGCATGTCAATGCTATTTGTTTGTCTTACAAAACTTACAGTGCTGCTAAGCCTGTGGCTGAGTAGGCTAGGGCCCCTCCAAGGGCTCAACAATCTCAGTATTTGTCCCCTATCTTATCTCTGGTGCTGCAAGCCTTGCACTCACAGCGGCAGTCAGGGCAGTGTCCAGGCAGGTTAGAAGCAAGCTCAGAGGCTTGCTTTAGACCTAGGCCCTGTGTCTCCTGCATTGCTAGGTGTAGAATTCCACATCTTTGGTCAGCGAAGAAGTGATGGACATTACAGACGGACAGAAAAATATTCACAAGTTAATTTACTATGTGTGTCCTTCTGAATGCACAGGAAACAGTAGAATATACAGTATAATATGCAGATACCTGGGCTTCCCCAGGGATCAAAGATAAAGTATCCACCTGCCACCCAGGAGATGTGGGTTCAACCCCTGTGGGGGAAGATCCCTCTGGACAAGGGCATGGCATTCTTGCCGGGAGAATCCCATGGATAGAGGAGCCTGGAGGGCTACAGTCCACTGGGTCGCAAAGAGTCAGGCACTACTGTACCAACTGAGCACACAGGCATGTGTGCATAGTTCCTTTCCAAGAACTAGTGAACCAAGAACACAGGTGTAAAACACAGGGAATTGGATATTTTAAACTTCGAAATCAGCTTTATAAATACTCAAGCTGTGGAGAAACTTGTGTATCACACAGTAGGCAGATCACCTGAAGAAAGGACAAGGCTATGAACTCAGTCAAGCACAACAGGAGCTCCCAAGAGACACAGAGGGAAAATGCAGAGATACCCCCAAACCAGATTCCAACTTCTCAGGGAAGTGATCCTCACCCACAGACAGTAGGTTCCTATAGGTCTCCTCCATCACGTCCCGGTACAAGGCCCTCTGAGCAGGGTCGAGGCATTCCCACTCCTCGGGAGTGAACTTGACGTCCACATCCTCGACAGTTAACTGTGTCTGAAATGAAAGCACATTTCACTAACAGGCGCTGAGGAGGATTCTTATTTTCACATGAAATGAGAAGAGGTTAGAGGGGTAATGATCAATTCAGGTAATGTTCCTATTGTTTCATAAGACTATGACATCTTCCAATCAACATGAATTTGTCACTTTTATGGATAATTCATGCAGAATATACAAATAAAATTCATTCAGTGAGTTGTCTATACAGAAGTGTTACACTCTACACACTGAGGGACACTCACTATCTAGATGAGTTACAAGACTGGTGTCTTCAGAGACGACAAAGTCCACACCAGCTTTAAAGAACACGTATTGTGATTATTATGACATCATCACACTGATGACAGGTGTTTCAACACTTCCTAACACTAAGCATTACTCTAAAGACTCTGCACGGATGAACTTATCATCAACATAATAGCACGTTAAAGAAAGATCTGTGTCCATCTGACTAGGGAGAAAACTCTGTAATTCCAAGAAATCGCTCAGATCAAAAAGTTAAGAAATGAGGCAACAGCACCTGAGGTCAGGTGGTTGGGACTGACAACTGAACCTAAGGAATCAACAAGTTAGGTATCAGAGCAGGAAAGTGTATCCAAAGAGAGTTCCCTGAGAATACCTGAAATAAGTTCAAGAAAGCTGAAGTGCAATGGAGCTGTAGAATCCCAGATCTTTTGTCAACCAAGAAAAGACAGACATGATAGATGGATAGAAAAATATTCACAAATCATTTTACTATCTACCTCCTTCTGAATGCACAGGGAACACTATAATATGCAGTATCATAAGTAGGTATCTGGGTTGCCCTGAGGCTCAGTGTAAAGCAACCACCAGCAATGCAGGTGACGTGGTGTTGATATCTCCGGGGGGGAAGATCCCCCTGGAGGAGGGCAGGGCAACCCACTCCCATATTCTTGCCTGGAGAATTCCAGGGACAGAGGAGCCTGAAGGGCTATGGCCCACTGGGTTGCAAAGAGTCAGACACGACTATAGGATAAATGGTCACTGTACAGGGTCACCCCCTCTTCCCTCCAACCACACAATGTCAATACTCTTACTACAATTTCCATCATTCACGTGATGAGGTAGAAAAAAACTTAAGAAAATGGAAAACACTTAAGATATAAGTGCAACTGCTACAAAGCATAACACATGTTTATGAGATGATGTTCTGTAATAAAAGCATGGAATTAGACCCATGCACTCATGCATGCAAATGTAAACATACAACTGGTTGAAACAAGGAAGAATTGTGTTTACTTTTTCTTTCAATCCAAATTTACTGAATTTCAACGTGGGCCCCAAGCTGGGAATACAGCAGTGAACATAATGGAGCTTATGGTCTAGCAGCCAGCCACCCAATTACATCCATAATTTTAACATTACTATTGCAATATGTGCTCTGAAACAGGCCTGGTGCTAAAGAAGATTTATCAGACAGTCTTGACGTACATCAAGAAATCAGACAAGGTCTCCGTGAGGAGGAAACACTTGGATTGGCAAGGTGGGAAATGGAAGAGTGTTGCAAGCAGAAAGAACAGCCTGAGTGCTGGCTCTAAGGCAGGAAGATACTTAGTGAACAGAAAGCCAGCCAATCTGACTGGGACACAGGGAACAAAGAGGGGTGATGCCAGGTAGAGGCTGCTTTCTACAAGGTCTTTGGATTTAGGACTTTATTCCAAAAGTAACTGGAAGTCACTGAAGAATCTGCAGGAGGTCAATCAGAGGTTTAGATTTGTTCTTCAGAGCTCACTCTGCTATGTGTGGAGGTTGCTGCTCCTTAGTCAATCAGTCGTGTCAGATCTTTGCGACCTCATGGTAGCCCACCATGCTCCTCTGTTCATGGGATTTTCAGGCAAGAATATTGGAGTAGGTGGCCATTTCCTACTCCAAGGAGATGCCTTTTGACACTTTCTGGGATGATACTCCCATTTTCTTTTATTCACGTGTATTTCCGCATCTTTGGGACATTAAAAATGCATCAATTTGTACTTCAGTAATTTGTCCCCATTCTTTGTCTTTTCTAAGTTATTTATTTTAGTTTTGTGGGGTTTGTTGCTGTGAGATTTCTACAAGGTCTTTGGATTTAGGACTTTATTCCAAAAGTAACTGGAAGTCACTGAAGAATCTGCAGGAGGTCAATCAGAGGTTTAGATTTGTTCTTCAGAGCTCACTCTGCTATGTGTGGAGGTTGCTGCTCCTTAGTCAATCAGTCGTGTCAGATCTTTGCGACCTCATGGTAGCCCACCATGCTCCTCTGTTCATGGGATTTTCAGGCAAGAATATTGGAGTAGGTGGCCATTTCCTACTCCAAGGAGATGCCTTTTGACACATTCTGGGATGATACTCCCATTTTCTTTTATTCACGTGTATTTCCGCATCTTTGGGACATTAAAAATGCATCAATTTGTACTTCAGTAATTTGTCCCCATTCTTTGTCTTTTCTAAGTTATTTATTTTAGTTTTGTGGGGTTTGTTGCTGTGAGCGGGCTTTCTGTATTTGCAGCTGCAGTGCACGGGCTTCTCATTCCAGTGGCTTCTCTTGTTTTGGAGGACAGGGTCTAGAGTATGTGGGTTTCAGTAGTTATGGCTCCCGGGCTCCAGAGCTCACGCTCAGTATTTGTGGCACATGGGCTTAGTTGCTCTGAGGCATCTTCCGGGACCTGGGATGGGACCCGTGCCCCATACATCGGCAGGCACATTGTTATCCACTGTACCACCAGGGAAGTCGTCAACATTATCTTATACTAGCTCAAAAAAATGAAAATACAAGCAGAAAATAATATACAGAAGATTTATTCTAATCTGTATTAAATAGCTGTATTTAAAAATAATATGAGGGCTTCCCTGGTGGCTCAGGGGTAAAGAATCCACTGGGCGGTGCGAGACACAGGTTTGATCCCTGGTTCGGTAAGATCCCACATGCCAAGGGGCATCTAAGCCTGTGAGCCTCAATTTCTGAGCCAGAGCTCTAGAGCCCAGCAGGTGAAACCACTGAAGCCAGCGCACTCTACAGCCTGGGCTGCAACAAAAGAGAAACCACCGTAACGAGGAGCCCACACACCTCAACTACAGAGTGGCCACCACTCACCAGAACTAGATAAAAGCCACTAAAGCAATGAAGAGCCAGTACAGCAGAAAAGTATACTTAAATATAGTAATATTATCTCATTCTTAATGTTAGGTATGTAGTTATTAACAAAATCCAAATTTTATCTTTTCATTCCATGACCAAATATTGCATCAAGATTAGGAAAGTTGGGGGAATTCCCTGTCGGTCCAGGGTTTAAGATGTCACACTTCCACCACAGGGTTTCAGGTTCAATGCCTCCTCAAGGAACTAAGACCCTGCAAGCTGCATCGTGTGGCCAAAAAGGAAGAATAAATAATTAGCAAACTATATTTCATAGTTTAAATTAGATGCTGTAATGAAACACTCTCTAACCCAGAGGTCTCTTTCTGAACTTTTCACTTCAGTCCCAAACATTTAAGATTTTCAAGGAGGTCCTCATTTAGTTTTAAATGTACTATAAAAAGTAGGACTGATTCCCCTTCATTGGACTCTTTTCCATATTTTGGCATGTATTATGCATTTTAATACCTTACATCTATGTGGAGCTTCATTACCCCGGTTGACAGAGAGCAGACAGGGCATCCAGATGGGCCCTAAGCAATCCCTGCTGCCCAGCAGCACTGAGACCCCATCTCCAACCCGTGGGTGAGAAGACCTGCCCAGGACGGTGCCCAGGGGAGCCTCCTCACAAGGACCAGGTCACCGGGTCATGGGGAGACGGGATCTAAGTGGAGACAACAGGCCCTGAGGGAAGGCCCCGGGTGAGTGTGTGTGTACAGGAGTCAGACAGGACACTCCAGAGTCAGACACCATTAGCGAGTCCAGAGAAGGGCATTTCAGGAAGGCAGTGTGAGAATCCACTGAGAATATGACCTTACCTTAGAAAGAGCCATTCCTGACACGTTTTCTTTCACCTTCCTCCTCTTCTGGACTTCTTCCTCAGCTAACACGAGTCTTCAGAGGAGTGTCAAGAAGGTGGAAAACATGTTATTTAATGCTTAGAGTCAACACACCCCTTTCCTGAGCGCCAACCACACATACAGGGAAGCCCTCACCATGAAGAACAAACAGTCCTCTGTGCGCACTGTCTCAGGAGGGACTCAGGACAGTCAACTCCCACACAGAGTCCAACACGGGACTTTCCCACAATTTCCCTCAGATCACACTCCCCTCCTGGTGAGGCCTCATGCACACAGCAGCAGGGGGCACCTCCGCTCACCCCACGATGCCCTTCAGGTCATACAGCAGGCCCTGGTCCAGCCCCACTCAGAGCAGAGCACCCTCCCCTCCCCCAGGGTCTGACTGCAGTCTCAGAAGTGGAGGCTAAGAGCCCTGGTGCTCAATGCAGGATCCAGATCAGAATCATCTGTGGCCTGTGCACATTCCTGGGGCAAGGCCCCACATGAGATCCTGAAGAGCGTGTCTGATGGGGGAGGGGTACAAAACATGCCCTGGCAAAATGCCTCATGATCTCATGTGAAGCCTGGGTTGAACACCACTCAAGGGGTCAAGTCCAGCATACCTCCCACTTTCTTCTTTTCCAGCCTGACTGAAATAGAATGGACTAACAAGAAGGAATGTGTATACATACCATGCACGATGTGACCATGTGACACATTTCTACACTGTGAAATATTTATCACAATCCACAAACCAGCACATCCATCACCTCCAAATTCCCATGTTCTGTGTGTGGTGACAACACTGATGACGTACTCTCCTGACAAATTCCCAGCATGCAGTAACAGAATAGGATTAATTACGGTCAGCGTGCTGCACACACCTCCCCAGGACGCACTCATTTTACAACTCAAAGTCTCTACCTTTTGACCAACATCTCCCCACCTTCCCCACCTCCCAGCCCGATAACCACCATCCCAGTGTCTGCTACTAGTGGTTTCACTTTTTTACATTCCACATATAAGCAAGCCCATACAATCAGTCTTTTCCTATCTGCCTTAATTCACTTAGCATAATATTCTCTACATTAATCCAAGTGGTCCCAAGTGACAAAAATCACCATTTTTATGGGTGCATGTCATTATATACATGTTTGTGTTTCTCTGAGTGTATGCTACTGTTAGGGGAAGCACAGTGATTGAAATCTCCCACCCTGGCCAGGCACCATAGTAACTATTTGCATGAATTGTTTTACAACAGGCAGTCCTGGTAAGGAACAGGGAACTAATAAGCCTCCACCAACCAAAAGAGTTCGGGAAAGGTCAAATGGAGACACCACCTGTCCAACCACCTCCCAGAATCCTTCTCTCTGGCATCCATCTTGGCTGAACAAGGCGTGTACCACCAGGAAGGACTCTGAGTCAGAATGATTGGCTAAAGACAACCTGGAAGCTAACCCCATCACCATAAAACCCAAGACTGCAAGCCATGTGACAGAGCAGTTCTCCCAGGTTCCCTTACCCTACTTCTCCTCCACCCAGGTGCCCTTTCCCAATAAAATCTCTTGCTTTGTCAGCATGTGTCTCCTCGGACAATTCATTTCTGAGTGTTAGACAAGAACCCAGTTTCGGGCCATGGAAGGGGACCCCTTCCTGCAACACTACCAACCAGGACTTCTCTGGTAGCTCAGATGGTAAAGAATTCGCTGCCAATGTTGGAGACCTGGGTTCGATCCCTCAGTCGGGAAGATGCCCTGGAGAAAAGAATGGCAGCTCACTCCGGTATTCCTGCCTGGAGAAAGCCATGGAGAGGAACCTCGCAGGCTACAGTTCATGGGGTTGCAAGAGTCAGACACGAGTGACCCAGCCAGTCCCCAAACTGTTATCTCCAAACTAATAATAAAAGACAGATGTGTAGGCTGATGCACATATCTGAATTTGACTTCAATATCTTCCACAGAAACATTCCAAGTTTTTGTTTTTTTTTTTAACTTCCAAATGCATTTGAAATCTTCTTCATGGACAACTCAAAATAACAGAAAATACCAAAAGTAACCCACAAAGTGATCTCTGGGGTTTTACTGACAGTTATTCTATGGGTTGCATACTTAATTCTCGCCCTCCCTAAAGACCACAAAAAATCCACTGTGTGGAGGGGGTGCTGTGGGGCACCTCCTGGATCCACCCCCCTTCTCTGGGACCAGTGTGCCCATCCTCCTGCACCCAGACCTCCCTGTGGGCTCAGCTCAGGCCTTGCTTCTAACACACTGCAGGGTAACATTCTTCTTCCCAATCCCACATCCTTCCTTTCTCCAAAGGTGTGATCATAAGATTCCCAATTAAACCCAGGCACGCAAACCTCAGTCACAGCATCTGTGTCCCAGGAAAACTGAGCAAAGACACTGGCACACCCACCATTCCACACAGCCCACAATTAGCCATGAGCCCATGTCCAGGGCCTCCAGCCAGAACCGAGACCGCCTTTGTCAACAGGTCCACATGCCCCGTGATCACACAACTATGCTTGTCACTCTCTCTCACACACACACCATTCATTGGGTTCATTAAAAGGTGCACTCCTGCTCTCACTACCCTCCTGGAGACCCCGACGAGCTCCCCCTCACTTTCTCCCATTTTTCTACCTCTTCTCCATGCACAGCTGAACAAGAGCAGAGACCTCTAGGCATGGGCATTGCAACAGGAATGCGCCCTAGCTGCAAATCCAAGGACACTGGGCACTCAGTATGGAGACCAAGAAGCTGGTCCTCTTGGGGAAACCACTCAGCAACAAGGACATTATGTAGTTGAGGGATGGCTGGGCTGAGTTCAGTAAAGAAGTCACAAGGAGAGAGAGGCCCCAGTCTCACTGGCTCCTGTTCTCCCTGCTCATAGCTAACTGGAAGATACCCCAGCTCATTAAAGGAGGGAGGGTGGTTTGGGGATACGGAGGAATTGTCTCCTACATACTCCCTTAAGATACTGACCAGTCTAATCACAGGAAACTCAGCATCTACTGCTGAGCAGATGAACTGCTAGAAGGCAAAGCTGCTGTCCAAGATGGCAACTGGTCCCTGGATGCACAGAGCCTAGAAGACCTGGGGACTGCAGTGAGCAGTGACACAGCAAAATAAAACATGGGGACACCTCAAGACACTAGATCTGCCAGGCTCTTTAGGATTCCAACATCTTTTTTCTTTTGAGTAATTAAGTCTCTACACGGGGTAAGGATCAATCAGAGTTGAAATGTCCAGCACAAATATGGGGGCCATCATCACCCAGTCTATAATCTCCATCATCCCTGAGGATTCTTCAGCCCAACCCACAGTCCCAGTCCTCTCCTCTAGAGTGAGATGCTGCAAGCATCCTGGGAGGAAGAGGAATATGGTGAACACTTCAATGAGGGGAACAGAGGAAAGACTCCAAATAATTAAAAGAAGAAGGGCATATCTGATGAGGGTAGCTAATACAGAAGCAGTAAACCTGGTTAACATGACAGAGAATATCAGAAGTAGATGGGGAGACCTCTCTGGCCTAGACCTGAAGGAACAGAAAGAGCAAGGGCAACAGTGATATAATGACCAAAGGCAGACGTAGTAACTAAGATCTGAGACAGAGAAGGTTTTGGTGTTTACGAACAAGGACTAAGTGACTGTGACCAGGACAGACTGACCATGAGAACGGGGTCGGCTCCCAGGATGAGGCTGGAGACCCTGGCAAGAGGTGGGAGGCCTCCCTACCGATTGACCTTTATTCACAGAAGATGAAGAAGGAATTCACAGGGCCTGGACTCCATCGTAGGCCTGTCTGTGCTGGCCCTGCTCGGCTGCCTCTCCAATGGACTCTGAACTCTCTGCTTAGTGTCTATGGGAACGACAATAGAAGGATAAGACCCCCTCTGGACAGGGGAACCTTGAAGATCTTATCCAGGTTACCTCTCACCTAAGAGAAAACATACTCTAATCATCCCTGCCTCCGGACAGTATCTATCGGAATGTAACCACAGGCTTATCGGTTATTAACTGGTTGGAATGTAACTGCAGGTTTATTGATTATTTACTGTTTGAACACATAACACATGAATGATGGGGTTATTGTGATTGTATTTACCCTTCCTTTGTAAGTCTCAAGAAATTTCGGGTGGTGGGTTCTGACACGTACACAAAGGGTATAAAAGATTTTCACAAATGCTGGTCGGGTTCCTTGGCTAACAGCAGACTCTGCCCTGGGCCCACCAGTGTAAGAAACTGCATGCCACTATCTGCATTGTCCTTCTGAGTGAGTTTATTTCCCAGAACGCGTGGCTAAAACAAAGACAGCTCATGATTTCCTCTCAGGCTCTGAACTGATGTTCTTGCCTCCATCCTACTGTTGTCCTTTTTCATTTTGGAAGACTGGGACCCATTTCAAGTTCTAATAACAAGTGGGCTTTCCCTCCAAGAAGAACTGCCACACAGAGTCACACATCCAATTTGGCCAATCATTTCAGGGGTTACTGTTGCTGAGCTTCTGGACCTGAGGAAGCATCATCAGATCAAATCATAGCTTACTAGTTACTAGATCACATAAAAGAGAGGAAAATGGAGTATCAGACTAACTGCTTAAATTAGGTCGTGACTCTTAATATAAAAGATCACTGACACCCTTATGAAATATTCATGAAAATGGTCTACAACTATTTATTAGTTACCAAAAAATGTTTTCAAGATATAACATAAACAAGAAACATCAAATGGGCCTCTAACAGATGTGAAACAAACCTAAACTGAATCAGCTTATTAAAATTTTTTTCATTGAAGAAATCTGGTATAAAGTATAAAAATAAATTCAGAATATAGAATATTTAGAAAAGAATGACATGAATTAACTACAGGAGTCCACCAACTCTTATTTCAGAAGTGGATAATTGTTTACAAGAAGGTAGGTATTCAATGAACTAATCTTTATCCCAAGATACAAAATAATGAAATATAAAGAAAGGAGAAAGCAAAAAGTAAAACCATCGCAAAGAAATTTTTAATGTGCCTGGAAAAGGCATCATATAGTAAGACATGTAGTAAGTCAGTTCTTGCCCCACTTCGCCCCATAACCTCTACTCCGCACCAGGAAAAGCGAAGGGGTTGACTCACCTCTGAGAGAATCAAGTCACTGCCGCAGACCCCACCTCTATAGCCTCTGCACAAGGATGTTATCTTTTAATACAGAAAATTACCACACACACAAGTCTTACAAACAGAAGTTTCGCAATTCTCATTTTCATCTGTATAATTTAAAAAAGAGTGTTTTAAACTAAGTAGATTTTAAAGCCAAAAATCAATGTATCACGACTTAATAATCCTTATCCAATCGATTCAGCACTCGTCCGGATCTAGTCCCCTCCCCCACCTGCACACTAGTTGTTTCCACTTCATTTGGTTTATGTTTCCCTACTTCTTTCTCGTCTCCCTTCCTCTTCCCCTCTGCCCTCCTGCTGTGCCTGTCCTCTACTTCTTCCCTGCCTCCCATCCAGCCTCTCTCTGCCATCTGTTCGCCTTCAAGTTGCTTTCTCTCCAACCTCCCTGGCGATCCTCAATCTCCGTATTTCTGCCTTTCTTCCTCCATCTCTGCCCGCCCTTCCTCCCAACTCTCTGGCACCCCCATGTGGCTACGCTTCCTCTCAGTTTCCTTTCTCAGCTCCTCCAATCACTAGGCGTCCCCTTTCTCTCCCAGCAGGATATTGCTCTGTAAGTCAAGGTCCCAACTCTTGTATCCCCTTTGCGGGCTCTCTATGTGAACTGCCTCTCCACTGTCGCCCTCTTTGGGACCCCTGATTTACAGCCCCTCTCCCTTGAAGGCTATAGAAGGGGGCGGCAGAGGATGAGATGGTGAGATACCATCTCTGGACTCAACGGACACATATCTGACCAAACTCGGAAACAGAGGGGTCGTAAAGACTCGGATTGAACACCACCACCTCCATACCTTGCTCACCTTTAACTCTCAGGAAATTCTGCTTTTCTCTAAACTTTCCCCCTAACCGCTACCTTCAAGGCTGGTTCCTTCTCATGCTGTTGTCTCTTCACAAGTTCCTCACCAATCCTCTTCATTGCCATCGCTTCTCCCTCATGCTTTTCTTAATTAAATATTTCTCTAGGAGTCGCTGCTTTTACTGCTTCTGACCACCCCCCAGCCTCCTATTTGCAGAGATGGCGACTGAATAAGAGGCCCCCCCTCCCGTAAGAGCCAAACTGCAACGGAGGGAATTTGGGACGTAAGAACCTCGGGTGTCACGTGGCTGTCGCAGGTCACCTCCCCCGACACGGGTCAGGGCTACGTCCTTAGGAAGGCAAGGCCTGTGGGGCGGAAGGACCCGCCTGAGGAGACTTGAGGTGAGAGCGGTTGGGAGGGAAGGGGTCTCAGCATATCGGCGGGCTCCCCAGAATCCCAGGACCGAGGAAAGGGGTGGTCGGCGCGGCTAGGGGCCGAGAGGACGAGGCTGGGGGCCGCGGAGCTAATAAACCCACCTCGCCGAAGAGAATTGTATGCGGTGTAGGAAGGCAGAATGGTCAGTGAGGTCAGTACATGGTTTAAAGCACGAAAGAGATGCGAAACGCAACGTCTCTGTGGACAAAAAGCTGGAAGCGACTTCAGAGCGACTTTAAAGCAAAATGGAGGCGCCCCTTTGCCTGGCACCAATACGTCTGAACTTGCTGGGGATGGTGGGACGGGCGCAGGGATTTAGAGTCACGAGCGAAGCTGGGGCTCCGGGTACTGAGGAAAGGAGACTGCAGGCCGGAGGTTTGATTGGAAAGAGAGAAACTCACGCTGAACTGAGAGACCTCCACTTGCCGCGCTTCGCTTCCGGGTTTGCGGGACGCTGCGCGCACTCGCAGTGAAAGAGCGGAGCGGCCTGGGGGCGGGGACTCAGCAGAGCCTGGTCGTCGGGGGGCGGGGCGTTGAGCGAAGCTGAACGCGCGTGGGGACGGCAGGAACATGAGGAAGGGCTTGGAGGCGTGAGGGGGCCGACCCTCCGCGCGCAGTGGGCGGTGCGGGGCAGGGCGGTGAGGAGAAACAATTCATTCTTGTAATCACCTCTGAAGGTGACTACAGCCAGAGTATTAAAAGAGGCCTACTCCTTGCAAGGAAAGTTATGATAAAACCAGACATTGTATTAAAAAGAAAAGGCATATATAATTCCAGAATACCTAAAGAGTGAGACGCAATTTTGGGTCATTGCATTTCTAAGTATAAAGTGTTTGGTGAACCCTGAGTTTGAAGCAGTACCTAAAGGCCTTGCCACATTCTGTACACTAGCAAGGTTCTCGTTGGGATGGATCCTCTGATGGTTGGTAAGGTGTGACCCTGAGGTAAAGGTTCTACACACTCATGTCACTTGTAAGCTTTCTCTCCAGAATGAGTTCTTTACTGAATCCTGACTTCAGATTGTTGTCTAAAACCCCTGATGCACTCATTGATACAGCTTCTACCTAGGGAATATTCTCAGAAAGCTGAAGGTGTAAACAGCTGAAAAGCCTGGCCATATTGATTGCATTCAGATGGTCTCTCCAGTATGGATCACCTGATGTCTTTTTAGGCCTGAATGGCCACGTAAAGGATTTGCCATACTCTTACATTTGTAACGTGTCTCTATATTATGAATAATCTGATGATGGGAATGATCAGCCCATTACTGAAGCTCTGACAACACACAGTATATTTATGATTCCCTCCAATCTAGACTGGAGGGATTGACTGAGCTCTTTATGTATGGCTTCTCACCAGTACGGATTTTGTAAAAACACATAACACATGCACTATGTGGGTAAGACTTCAATTCTAATTAATTATCTGATGGTTAGTTACGTCTGAACACAGAATCAAAGCTTTGTCACACCTAGCACATTTCATGTGGTTTTCTTCAAGTCTGACTTTTCTGAGTGTCAAAAAGTGGATATACTTTACTGCATTTACTACACTTGTAAGTTTTCATTGCCATATGGATTCTCAGATGATCTGCAAAGTTATTCCTTGTGACTGAAGGGTTTGTCACATAAATTACATTTATGTGGTTTCTCTCCTCTTGGAACCACCTGACGGTCAGTTAAGGCTGAGCAAGCACTAGAAACTCTGCCACATTTGAATGCTTTCTATACAGTATGAATTCTCTGATGAATTATAAGGCCTGAACTCAGATTAAAAGCTTTGCCATACTCATTACATTTGCACTAAATGTGTCTCACAATTGTTCCATTCGTAATATTTTTCACCACTGTGAATTATCTATGATTTCTAACATGGTCATTTCATATATAGCACTGGCCACATATATCACATTTCTATGCTTTCTCTCCTACATGAACTGCATGGCGGTGAGTTGACTGTTCACTAATGTGTTTGGCACAATTGTTACATTTCTAAGGTTTCTCCCCAGTATAAATTCTACAATGAACTACAAGGTTTGCATTTAGATTAAAGGACTTGCCACTGAGATCACATTTACATGGTTTCTCTCCAATATGACTTCCTCAATGAACTGCAAGTTTTCCAATATGACTAAAACCCTTGCAACAGATATCACATTTACATGCTTTCTCTCTGGTATGAATTCTCTGATGAACTGCAAAGTAAGAGCTGGAACTGAAGACTCTTCCACAAAACTACATTTCTATGCTTTCTCTCCTAAAGGAACTGCCTGATGGTGAGTTAAGGATGACTGTGCAATAAAACGTTTGTCACAATTGTTACATTTGTAAGGTTTCTGTCCAGTATGAATTCATCCATGAACTGCACAGCTTGAAGTTTGACTGAAGTCCTTTCCACACACACCACATTTACACAGTTTCTCCCCAGTATGATATCTCTGATGAACTGCAAGCTTTGCAGTTTGATTAAAGCCCTTGCCACATAGAACACATTTATATGGTTTCTCTCCAGTATGAATTTTCTGATGAAGTGTAAGGTCTCCATTTACACTAAAGGGCTTGCCACATACATCATATGTATATGATTTCTCTCCAGCGTGAACCCTCTGAAGAACTGCAAGTTGTGTGCTTCGACTATAGCCATGGCCACACACATCACATTTATATGGTTTATCTCCAGAATGAGCTCTCCGATGAACTGCAGAGTAATACCTGCAACTGAAGAATTTGACACATAAATTACATTTACATGCTTTCGCTCCTGTATGAACTGCCTGATGTTTAGTTAGGATGACCGTGTACTTAAACTTTTGTCACATCGTTATGATCACTTTTATATGGTTTCCTTCCTATATGGATTCTTTCCTGTCTAGGGAGTTTTGAGTCCTGAAGAAAGGTTGGGTCACACTTATTAGGGTTTTTCTTGTGTGCTTCCTGGTCTGGTGCCTGTTCTGAGGGATGTGTGACAGCACTCTCATGTTTATGAGAAATGCCTCTGTGGACACTATGAGTTCTCTGAGGTGGCAAACCTGAGGCGCTACTGTTGATACTCGTCACAACTTGACTATATTCAAATATTGTTCTTCAGACTGAACTATCTGCAATTCATCTTGAAAGCTTAATTCATGCCTTTCAACAGGTTTATTTCCTGTATCATTTCTACTCTGATGATTTCTTCCATCAGTGAGATTTCTGTTATGGAATATAGATATTCCTTTGTCATTTCTTTCATTATCTGTCCACAGACTCTCAAAATCATGCATAGCTTCCTGTATCTTCCTGAGGAAAACATCTTTGATTTCATGGCTCTTGGTTCTTCCAAACATCAGTTTTTGAATAATTTCCCCTTTCCACTGTTTCCTTTTGCTTGTAATTTCTTAATCATATATATTTGAGAAATATCTGCAAGATACAAAGAACCATAAGTATCCTAATAATTACAATTCATAAATAAACTGTCTCATGTTGAACACATGATGATACCGAACTCATACCCATCCTGAAAAGAATTATGAATATTCCCAAAGATCTTAAAAACATAAGGAACAATAAAGGCATTGATCTCTGTTCGTTTCCAAGGCAAATCATTCAATATCACTGTAATCCAAGTCTATGCCCCAACCACTAATGCCAAAGAAGCTGAAGTAGAATGGTTCTAAGAAGACTTACAAGACCTTTTAGATCTAACAGCAAAGAAACAATGTCCTTTTCATCATAGGGGACTACAATGCAAAAGTAGGAAGTCAAGAGATACATGGATAACATGCAAGTTTGGACTTGGAGTACAAAATAAAGCACGGCAAAGTTTAACAGAGTTTTGCCAGGAGAAAGCACTGGTCATAGCAAACACCCTCTTCCAACAACACAAGAGAGGACTTTACACATGTACATTACCAGATGGTCAATACCAAAATCAGATAGATTATATCCTTTGCAGTCAAGGATGGAGAAGCTCTATGTGGTCAGCAAAAACAAGACCGGGAGCGAACTGTGGCTCAGATCATGAACTCCTTATTGCAAAATACAAACTTAAATTGAAAAAACTAGGGAAAACCATGAGACCATTCAGGTATGACCTAAATCAAATCCTCACGATTATACAGTGGAAGTGACAAAGAGATTCAAGGGATTAGATCTGATAGAGTGCAAAAGAACTAAGGACTGAGGTTCGTTACATTGTACAGGAGGCAGTGATCAAGACCATCCCCAGTTTAGACAGCATATTAAAAAGAAGAGACATTACTTTTCCAATAAAGGTCCAAGTATAGCTTTGACTAGACAGACCTTTCTTGGCAAAGCCATGGTTTTTCCAGTAGTCACGTATGGATGTGAGATTTGGACCATAAAGAAAGCTGAGCGCCAAAGAATTCATGCTTTTGAACTGTGGTGTTGGAGAAGACTCTTTGAGATTCCCTTGGACAGAGAATCAAACCAGACAATCCTAAAGGAAATCAGTCCTGAATATTCATTAGAAGTATTGATGCTAAAGCTGAAGCTCCAATAGTCTGGCCACCTGACACAAAGAGGTGACTCATTGGAACAGACACTGATGCTAGGAAAGATTGAAGGTGGGAGGAGAAGGGGAAAACAGAGGATAAGATGGATGGGAAGTATCACCAAATGGGTGGATGTGAGTTTGAGAAAACATTGGGAGTTGGTGATGGACAGGCTAGAGCCAGTGCTTCACAACAAGAGAAGCCACTGCAATGAGAAGCTGTGTGCCCCGCAACTAGAGAGTAGCTGCTGCTCACCTCAAATTGAGAAAATGATGCAGAGCAATAAAGACCCAGTACAGCCAAAAAGAAAAGACCCTGCCTTTGGGTCTTTGGGTGACACAGCACCACTGGAAGATGGTATACATTTCACATGTTAAAGAATGTAGGAGGAAGCTGGGAGAAGAATAATCTCCTGTGAGAGTTCACAAACACTGAACACATGTTTTCCCATAGAACATCCCATTTGGAGCCTCCCAAACACTATGAATGGTGTGGCTTCCTCTCTCTCCTTGTGAGATCTGACCTTTGATCACACTGTTGATACCTTACAACTCATCTGGTTTCCGGACATTTGCACCTCATTCTACACAATCCAGGGATCTTCCTCTGCTACAAAAATAGAGGTGAGATTCAGATCAGATACAGAAATTCTTGCTCAGAAGAAATGCCATGTACTGTGGCTTCTTCCAAAATCCAACCTCTCCTTTTTAACTAAATGTATGTTACTTTCAACACTTCTGTTTATTCATTTATTTATATTGGTTATGGTGAGTGCACACTGCTGCTTGGGCATTACTCGAGGTTTGGCAAGTGGGGGTTACTCTCCAGTTACAGTGCTCCACTTCTCATTTGCTGTGGCTTCTCTTGGGTGCATGGCCTTCAGAAGTTGTCCCCTGTGGGCTCAGTAGTTGCAGATTCCGGTCTCTAGAGTGCTGGTTCAGTAGCTGTGGTACACTAGCTTAGCTGCTCTGTGACATGTGGGATCTTCCCAGACTAGGGATTGAATCCGTCTCCTGAAATGGCAGGGGTCGAATCCCAGCTCTTTTATCAGCCAAGAAGTAAGAACATTATAGACAGAAAAACTCTTCACAAATTAATTTACTATCAGCCTTCTTCTGAATGCACAGGGTAAAGCATAATATACATGAATATGCAGTCGTTCCCTGCATGGGGAAGACCCCCGTGAACGAGGGGATGGCAACCCACTCCAGTATTCTTGTCTGGAGAATTCCACAGACAAAAGAGCCTAGAGAGCTATGGTCATTGGGTCCCAAAGAGTCAGATATGACTGGAGTGACTGAGCACATACACATGCAGATATGTAATTACTTTCAAAGAACTAGTGAACCAAGAACAGAGGGGAAGGAAAAGCGATTTGGATATTTCAAAGTTTGAAATCAGGGTTACTTACAAATGCTCAAGCTGTGGAAAAACTCCTTGTATATCACACAGTGGGCAGATCACCAGAAGGAAAGACAAGCTTATACTGATGCCAATCATGAGCTTTTTCACCTCTGAATCAACAAGGCTGTGAACTCAGTCAAGCAAAACAGGAGCTCACAAGAAGAACAGAGGGAAAATGCAGAGATGCCCCAAACCAGATTCCAACTTCACAGGGAAGTGATCCTCACCCACAGACAGCAGGTTCCTATAGGTCTCCACCATCATGTCCCGGTAGAAGGCCCTCTGAGCAGGATCAAGTCACTCCCACTCTTCTGGAATGAATTTGATGTCCACATCCTCGATGGTCAACTATATCTGAAATGAAAACACACCTCACCAACCAGCTGTGAGGACAGTTCTTATTTTTACACAAAAGTAGAAGTAAGAGGGGTAAGGATCAATTCAGTGGAAGTAATATTCTGATAGATCTATTAAAAGCTATTTGGAACACACTGTTGGTCTCTAATTTCCTGCTTTTTCATAAGACTATGATATACTCCAATCGACATGAACTTGTCACTTGTGTGGACAATACATGAAAAACATACAAATAACACTCAACAATGAGTTGACCATGTAACAAGGAGTTGCCCCTGTAGAAGGGTTACATTTTACACATTGGGTGACATTTAATATCTAGCTGAGTTACAACAAGAATGGTATCTTTAGAGATAACAAAGTCCACAGTGGCTTTAAAAGAACACCAGATCTTACATGTGAAGATGATGACACTATCACACTGACTATAAGGGTTTCAACACATCCTACACACTAAACATATTCTAAACACTTTACACATATGAACTTGTCATCAACATAAAACCACATTAGAGAAAGATCTGTGTCCATCTTATGAGGAGAAAACTCAGTCACTCTAAGAAATCGCTGATCCACAAGTTAAGAAATGAGGCAACAGCCCTTGAGGTCATGTGGTTAAGTCTGACAAAGAATAAAAAGCTAAGTAACAGAGCAGGAAAGTGCATCCACAAAGAGTTCCCTGAAAATACCTTAAACAAGTTAAAGAAAACTGAAATGTAATGGAACAGTATAAATAGTCACTGTATAGGGTCGCCCTCTCCCCCTGAACCCACATGTCAATAATCTTACTACTATTTCCATCAATCATGTGATGAGGTAGAAAAAACTTAAGGTCATGGAATACACTTAAGATACAAGTACAACTGCTACAAAGCATAAAACATATTTAAGACATGATGCTTTGTAATAAAACCATGGAGTTACATAACGATGCACTCATGCATGCACATGTAAACACACAACTGGTTGAAACAAGGAAGACTGGTCTTTATAGTTTTTTCTTTCATTGAAACAAAATTTACTGAGCAACAACTCTGTGCCCCAAACTTGGAATACAGCAGTGAACATGGTGGAGCTTACAATCTGCCAGCCAGTCAGCCAATTACAGCCATAATTTTAATATTACTATTGTAATAAGTGCTCGGAAAAAGGCCTGGTGCTAAGGGAAGATTTAACAGAAAGTCTTGACCTGCATCGAGAAGTCAGACAAGGTCTCCGTGAGGAAGAAACACTTAGGATTAGCAACATGGGAAATAGAAAAGTGAGGCAAATAGAGAAAACAGCCTGTGTGCTGACTCTGAGGCAGGAAGATAGTCAGTGAACAGAAAGTCAGCCAGTGTGACTGCAATGTAGGGAATAAAGAGGGGTGACGCCAGGTAGAGGCTGATTTCTGAAAGGTTCTGCAAGGTCTATAGATTTAGGACTTTATTCCAAAAGCTACTGGAAGCCACTGAAGAATCTGCCGGAGGAAAGTTAGACACTTAGATTGGTTTTTAAGAGCTCACTTGGCTGAGTGTGGAGGTTGCTGATCAGTTGCTCAGTCGTGTCAAAGTCTGCAACCCTTAAAATGATTTAATCCTTAAAGTTAGGTATCCAGTTATTAACAAAAGCCAAAGTTTATCTTTTTATTCCATGAACAAAATATTACATTGAGATTAGGAGAGTTGGGGAATTTCCTGGAGGTCAAGTGGTTAAGTACTCATATTCTATTGCAGGGCTTCAGGTTCAATTCCTACTCAGGGAACTAAGACTCCACTAGCTGCATTGTGCAGCCAGAAAATAAATTTTTTAAAAAATGCTGATTTCATAGTTTCATTTAGATGGTATAATGAAACATACCCTAGCCCTGAAATCTCTTTCTGAACTTTCCGTTCCATTCCCAAATCCTTAAGATTTTCAAGGAGGCTCAATTACTTTTAAATGTACTACACAAAGTCAGAACTGATTTCACCTTAGTGGCCTCTATCCATATTTTACAACGTACTGTGCATGTTAATACCTAACATCTATCTGCAGTTTCCTTACCCTGGTTGACAGAGAGCAGACAGTGCACCCAGATGGACCCTAAGCAAACCCTGCTGCCCAAGAGCACTAAGACCCCGTCTCCAACCCGTGGGTGAGAAGCCCTGCCCAGGACGGTGCCCATGGGAGCCTCCTCACAAGGGCCAGGTCACCGGGTCATGGGGTGGCGGGATCTAAGTGAGGACAACAGACCCTGAGGGAAGGTCTCTGGTGAGTGTGCATGTAAAGGTGTGAGACAGGATACTCCAGAGTCAGAGAAGATTAGTGAGTCCAGATGGGTATTTCAAGAAGGACAGACTGAGAATCCACTGAGAATATGACCTTATCTGAGAAAGAGCCATGCCTGACTCCTGCTTTTTCCCCTCCCTCCTCTTCTGGGTTTCTCAGGCAACAGGAGTCTTCAGAGGGGTGTCAAGAAAGTGGAAAACATGCTGTTTAGTGCTTAGAGTCAACACAGCCTGTTCCTGTGTCCCAACCACACACACAGGGAGGACCTCACCAAGCGGAACAGACAGTCCTCTGTGCCCACTGTTTCAGGAGGGATGCAGAACAGTCAACTCCCACACAGAGCCCAACAAGGGACTTTCCCACACTTTCCCTGGCATCACACTCCCCCTCCTGGTGAGGATCATGCACACAGTAGCAGGGGGCACCTCTGGTGACCCAATACCCTTTTCACTGCCTCTTCTCCAGGAACGGCTGAACAAGAGGGCTAAAAAGCAGAGACTACTGGGCTTGGGCATTGCAACAGAAACCTGCCCGAGCTGTAAATCCAAGAACACTGAGCATTCAGAATGGAGACAAGAACTTGGTTCTCTTGGGAAAACCTGTCAGCTGCTGCGGACTTTATGCAGTTGAGGGATGGTTGGTAAAGAAGTCACAAGAGAGAGGTCCCATCTCACTAGCTCCTTTTCTCTGTGCTCACAGCTAACTGGCAGATACTTCAGGTCATTATGGGGGTGTGCGGTTGTCAGATGGGGAGGTGTCTCCTTCATATACACTTAACTTCCAAACCTTCTGGCCACTCTAAATACGGTAAACTCATCATACCCTGCTCTGAGCACATGAACTGCTGAAGGCAGAGCTGCTGTCCAAGATAGCAACTGGTCCCTGGGTGGACAGAGCTTAGTAGACCTGGGGGCTGCAGTGAGCAGTGACACTGCGGACTAAAACAAGGTGATACCTCAAGACACTAAATCTATCGGGCTTTTCAGGATTCTTCAATCTTTTTGTTTTTGAGTAATGAAGTGACCACATGGGGTAAGGATCAATTAAGAGTTGAAATGTCCAGAACAGATATGGGAACCATCATCACCTACCCTGTCCTCTCTGACTCCCCTGAGAATTCTTCAGCCCAACCCACAGTCCCAGTCCTCACCCCCAGAGTAAGATGCTCCAAGCATCCAGGGAGGAAAAGGTACATGGGGCATCCTTCAATGAAGGGAAAAGAGGAAACATTCCAAATAATCAAAGGAGAAGGGCATCTCTGATGAAGGTGATTAATATAGAGGCAGTTAATCTGGTTAACGCCACATCAAATATCAGAAGGAGATGCGGAGACCTCTCTGGCCCAGACCTGAAGGAACAGAAAGAGCAAGAGCCACAGTGATGTAACGACCAAAGGTAGGAGAAAAAACTAAGATCCGAGACAGAGAAGGTTTCAGTGTCTAAAAACAAGGACTAAGTGAAAGTAAGCAGGACAGACTGACCATGAGAATGGGGTCGGCTCCCAGGATGAGGCTGGAGACACTGGCAGTGACCTGAGGAGTCAGGATGCTGCCCTGAGGACACAGGGAAGCCAGCGGAGGTGGGAGGCATTGCTTCACATTGATCTTTATTCACAGAAGACGGCTCATGATTCTGACTCTGAGCTTATGTTCCTGCCTCAATCCCACTGTTGTCCTTGTTGCATTGTGGAAAACTGATGCATTTCAAATTCTAATGACAAGTGGCAACTCCCTCAAAGAACTGCCACACATAGTCACACACCCAATTTGGCCAATCATTTCAGGGGTCACTGTTGCTCACCTTCTGGACCTGAGTAAATATCATCAGATCAACTTATAGCTCACTAGTTACCAGACCACATGAAAGAGAGGAAAATGGCCTATCATACTACCTGCTTAAATTAGGTCTTGATTCAATAAAAAAGATCACTGACATCCTTACTAAGTACTCATCAAAACAGTCTATAACTATTTATTAGTTACAAAAGAACATGTCCAAGATATAATGTAAAGAGACAGCAAAAGGGCCTCAAATAAATGTGTAACAAACCTAAAGTTAATCAGCTTATTAAAAACTTTTTCATTGAAAAATTCTGGTGCAAAGTGAAAGAAAATATTGTTAATGTAGAATATTTAGAAAAGAATGACATGAATTAATGATAGGAGATGACCAAATCTTGTCAGAAGTCAATAGATGCTGACAAGAAAGTAGGTATTGAATAAACTCATCTTTATCACAAGCTACGAAAAGAATTTAATGTAAAGAAAGGAGAAAGCAAAAAGGAAAACCATCACTAAGAACATCTTTCCTGAAAGTTCCCTGAAAAGGTACCATGTAGTAACAGATTCTGATAATTCTTGGACCACTTCTCCTCTCCCACAACCTCTGCTCCACACCAGGAAAAGGAAAGGGGGTGACCCACCTCTGAGAGAATCAAGTCAGTGCCTTACCCCCCACCTCAACAGACTCTGCACATGGATGCTATCTTTTAAGACAAATAATTACAACACCCAGAAGCCTTACAGACAGTTTAGCAATTCTCATCCTCCTCTGTATAATTTAAAGGAGCAAGATTTAAATTTATTAGACTGTAAAGCTAAAAATCAATGTGTCACATCTTAATTCTTTATCCAATCGATTCAGCACTCTTCTGGATCTAGTCCCCTCCACCACCTGCACACTTGTTTCCACTTCATTGGGTTTATCTGTTTCCCTATTTCTTTCTCCATCTCCCTTCCTCTTCCCCTCTGCTCTCCTGCTGTGCCTGTCCTCCTGTCTACTTCTTCCCTGACTCCCATCCTGTCTCTCTCTCACTGCCATCTGTTCCCCATAAAGATGCTTTCCTCTCCAACCTCCCTGATAATCCAAAATCTCCATATATTTCTCCCTTTCTTCCTCCAGCTCTGCCCTCCCTTCCTCCCAACTCTCTGGCACCTCCAAGTGCAATGGTTCCTTTCAGCTCAATTTCTTTCTCTCTGCTCCAATCACTCAGTTCAGTTCAGTTCCTCAGTCCTGATGGAATCTTTGCGACCCCATGGAATGCAGCATGCCAGGCTTCCCTGTCCATCACCAACTCCTGGAGTTTGCTCAAACTCATGTCTTCCCAGTCAGTGATGCCAGCCAACCATCTCATCCTCTGTCGTCCCATTCTCCTCCTGCCTTCAATCTTTTCCATCATCAGTCTTTTCCAAAGTCTCAGTTCTTCGCATCAAGGGGCCAAAGGACTGGAGCTTCAGCTTCAGCTTCAGCTTCAGCATCAGTTGTTCCAGTGAATATTCAGGGCTGATTTTAGGATTGAGCGGTTTGATCTTGCAGTCCAAAGAACTCTCAAGAGTCTTCTCCAACACCACATTCAAAAGCATCAGTTCTTCGGAGCTCAGCTTTCCTTATGGTCCAACTCTCACATCCATACATAACTACTTGAAAAACCATACCTTTGTATAAACCCTTGTCATCAAAGTAATGCCTCTGCTTTTCAATATGCTGTCTAGGTTGCTCACAGCTTTACTTCCAAGGAGCAAATGTCTTAATTCATGGCTGCAGTCATCATCTGCAGTGATTTTAGAGCCCAGGAAAATAAAGTGTGTCACTGTTTCCGTTCACTAGTAGTCCCCTTTCTCTTCCAGCAGGATATTGTTTGTAGGTCAAGGTTCCAACACTTGTATCCCCTTTGCGGGCTCTCTGTGTGAACTGCCTCTCCACTGTCGCCCTATTTGGGACCGCTGATTTACAGCACTTCTCCCTTGAAGGCTATAGAAGAGGGCGGCAGAGAATGAGATGGTTAGATAGCATCCCTGGACTCAACTCCCTATGTTGCACACATTTAGCTTTCCAGAGACCCTGCTTTTCTCTAAGCTTCTCTCCCTGACCCACCGTTACCTTCAAGGCCTATGCTCTTCCATGTTGCTCTCTCTTCCCAAGTTCCTCACCAATCCTCTTCGTTGCCATCGTTTCTCCACCATGCTTTCTTCAATTTTCTATTTCTCTCGGAGTCGCTGTCTCTGCTTCTCCTGATCCTCCTGGCCTCCTATTTGCAGGGTTGGCGAGTGAATAATAAGCCCCCACCCGTAAGAGACACATTCCAGGGGATGGTATTTGGGACACAGAATCATGGGTGTCATGTGGCTGGGCCAGGCCACCTCCCCCCACACGGAGTCGGGGTAACGCTCTAAGAAAGGAATGCCTGAGGGGCAGAACTACCGGCCTGAAGAGAGGAGACGACTGAGCGGCTGGGAGTCTCAGAAGCGGGGCGGGCTCTCCAGAATACCAAGACCTGGGAGAGAACCCGGCCTCTCCGGGAGCGGGGGCTGGCCCGGCCTCCTGGGACCGAGAGTGCGAGCCTGGGGACCGCGGAGCGAATAAACCCACATCACCCAAGAGAATTTCACGCGGTGCAGAAAGGGCAGAGGGGTCAGTGAACTCAGAAATTGGTTTTCAGCAGCAAAGAGTTGCGAAACGAGGCGTCTCAGGGACCAAACGCAGGTATCCGCTTCAGAGCGTATTAAAAGCAAAAATGGTGGCGCCTCTTCGCCACAATGGGACATCTGAATTTGCTGGTGGTGGTGGGATGGGCGCGGAGATTTAGATTTAGTATCGACCCTCAACCCACATTACAGAGGAAAGACAACTACGAAAGGAAGACTTGTCTAGAAAAAGAGAAACTCACTTTGCGCTGAGACCTCCGCTCGCCGCTCGCCGCTCTCCGCTTCCGGGTGTGATGCTGTGCACACGCGCAGTGAAAAGGCGGAGCGGCAGCGGAGGCCGGTGGTCAGAGGCGCGGGCCGAGAGAAGTCAGGCCTGCGTGGGGACAGTGGGAGGGTGAGGCGGCCGGGGCCTCACTGCTGAAGGTGGCTGCAGTCAGGAAATGAAAAGACGGCCTGCTCCTTGAGAGGAAAGGTATCATAAAAGTAGACAGTGTATTTTAAAGCAAAGGCATCACTTTGCCAACGAAGGTCCCTAATGTCAAAGGTGTTATTTTTCCAGTAGCAGGTAGAGATGTGAGAGGTGGTGCATAAACAAGGCTGACCATGGAAGAATTGATGCTTTTGGATTGTGGTGATAGAGGATAATCTTGAGAGTCCCTCGGACAACAAATCAATCTTAAAGGAAATCAACCCTGAATATTCATTGGAAGAATTGATGCTGATGCTGAAGCTCCAATACTTTGGCCAATTGATGCAAATATCGGACTCACTGGAAAAGACCCTGATGCTGGAAAGATTGTGGGCAAGAGAAGAAGGGGGTGACAGACGATGACATGGTTACATAGCATCACTGACTCAATGGACATGAATTTGGGCAAACTCCAGGAGACAGCGAAGGAAAGATTGTGGGCAAGAGAAGAAGGGGGTGACAGACGATGACATGGTTACATAGCATCGCTGACTCAATGGACATGAATTTGGGCAAACTCCAGGAGACAGCAAAGGACAGGGAAGCCTGGCATGCCACAGTCCATCAGGGTGCAAACAGGTGGACACCACGAGCAAGGGAACAGCAGAATACATATACATATATCCATTCTTTTTACGTTTTACTTTCCCCACATAGCTCATTAGAGAGTATTTAGTAGAATTCCCTGTGCTATATAGTAAGTCCTCATTACTTACTGACTTTATATATAGTAGTGACATGAAGTGAAAGGTATGTTAATCCACATCTCCCAGTTTATTCCACCTCCTCTCATGCCCTGATAACCATACCTTGTTTTCTATGTCAGCACCTCTATTCCTGTTTGTAGAGAAGTTCATATGTACCCTTTGTTTAGATTCCACAGATAAGTGATACCGTAATGTACTTGTCTTTCTCTTCTGTCTCTTGTTGGTAGAAAAGCTGAAGTCTCCCAGACCCCCGTGAAACACAAGAGAAAGTCTTAAGCACCTATTGGTTAGGAAAAAGAACCACAGACTCAGCGTCTGAGTTCTTTTTTAAAAAACATTTGTTGATTTGACTGCATTAGGTCCCATGACTTCATGGCAAATAGATGGGAAAACAATGCAAACACTGACAAACTTTATTTTCTTGGCTCCAAAATCACTGACCACAGCCATGAAACTCAAAGATGCTTGCTCACTGGAAGAAAAGCTATGATAAACCTAGACAGAGTATTAAAAAGCACAGACATTACACTGCCGACAGAGATCTGTATAGTTAAAGAAATAGTTTTTCCAGTAGTCATATATGGATGTGAAAGTTGAAGTATATAGAAAGATGAGAGCCAAAGAATTGATGCTTTTGAACTGTGACGTTGGAGAAGACTCTTGAGAGTTCCTTGGACAGCAGGGAGACCAAACCAGTCAATCCTAAAGGAAGTCAACCCTGAACATTCCATGGAAGGATTGATGCTGAAGCTGAAGCTCCAATACTTTAGCCACTTGATGTGAAGAGCTGACTCATTAGGAAAGACCCTGATGCTGGAAAAGACTAAAGGCAGGAGGAGAAGGGGATGAGAGTACGAGATGGTTGGATGCCAAAACTGACTCAGTGGACAAGAGATGGAGCAAGTTCTGGCTGGTGGTGGAGGACAGGGAAACCTGGCTTGTTGCAGTCCATGGGGTTGCAAAGTGTGGGCCATGACTGAGCAACTGAACAACAGCATCATAAGCAATCACCTAATGCCACCATTCCAGTAGGAATTTTCTGTCTTAGGGCTATAAAACTTGGCTGCAAGCCTGGGAAAGCATTCCACTCTCCCTTGAGCCGGCCCACTGTGCTAACACTGTCATCCAGTCTAATAAACTTTATTCTCCTCCCTTTGGCCTCACGTCTGGAAGTCCTTTTTCAAGCTGTGCATAGACCACGACAGTCACTCTGAAGCACTGGCCTGTCTTACGGGGGACAGAGTGAGCTTGAACTCGGCCACACCACTAAACTTAAAACACACCCATACACCACGCTTGGGGCTCAACCAGAGGCTCCCACTTGCTTCTTCCCACAACTCTCCTGCAGACCTCAACACTTATCCAATGAGCCCACATGTTTCACACCAAGACCTGAGCCTATTAATAACCCTGTCTCTACATCCCACACAGCTGGGTACAGCACTCCTGTTATCCTCTACGCAATTCTAGGACAACCTCCCTTCTCCAATTAATTTTAATTAAGACAACCCACTCCTACTCAACTACATCAAAGCTCCATTAGTTGGAAGCATTTTCAACCGATTTCTTATCTCTGACAATATTCCACCTACAACAGTCCCACAAATAACTGGGCCTCATTACTTGAAGATAACTGCTCTTTGCCCCCTGCCCCACATAATCATATCAGGCTTGAGTCTAGCACTGGCAGTCAACCTCAATGCACAAAGTCTAAAATTATCCTTCAAATGTCTTTGAATTCTCCAGTTGGTTAGGATATTCTCTTATTATTACACACCACTTTCCATCGCACTTGTCAGCAATCCAAAGTCAGCCACTGGGCTTCATATCACTGGAAAATATGCAACCAAAACCCACTTCTTTAATTCAAAGAAAACTGCCTACACTAGTATCAGACCACAGGGGCTCCCCAGGTGGCTCAGTGGTAAAAAATCCGCCTGCCAATGAAGGAGATGCAAGAAAAGGGGGATCCTTCCCTGAATCGTAACATCCCCACGGTTAGGAAATGGCAACCCACTCCAGTACTCTCGCCTGGAAAATCCCATGGACTGAGGAGCCTGGCCGGCTACACAAGAGTCAGACAAGACTGACGACAGAGAAGATTTCTATTTCTCTTTGAGTCTAGTGCTCATACCAGTAAGTAGTAGCACTGAAAATAATTTACTAAAATGAAGGGCCATTGTAGTCGATTTAGTACCCTGGTCATATAAACCAGAAAGGGACAGTAATATGGCTCCGTAACACTGAGAAAAAATTCCAGCTCCACCAGCAGTCCCAAAGCTGAAATTCTAAACTAGTTCCTGAACACGTGTTTTCGGATATTTAAAAAATTATCAAGTGCCATGTCATAAATAAAATTACTTTTTCCCTATAAATTACTAGGTATTTCGCACACTATATGAGTTACCTCAGGATTTTACACCAAAAGGAAATCAGACCCCCGGGCCTCTCACGACCACATCTGAACTGACTTGGGGTGGAGGGACGAGCTGGGGAACAGGAAGGTCCGAGGTGACCCGAGACCACGGATATGGAGGAGAGCGGGTATCCCAGGCGCACGTTAAGAAAAATACAACATAAAACTACCTCACGATTCCCAGGGCGACCGCACCTACCAAGAGTCGGCTTCGGAATTTGCTGTAACTCGGAATTTGCTGCGTCGTTTAGAGCCGCGATAGGCTTCTCCGCCAGAGATTGGAGACTAACGCCACAGCGAGGTGTCGAGCGTACAACTTTCGCTTGCGTCTGGGCGTGTGAGGGGCGGAGCGTAGCACACACTCCTGCGTCTGGGCGTGTGTGGGGCGGGGCGTAGAACACCCGCCTGCTTCTGGGCGTGTGAGGGGCGGGGCGTAGGACGACGCCAGCGTCTAGGCCTGTGAGGGGCGGAGCCGAGCGGGGCCGGGCGGAGCCGAGCGAGACCGAACTGGACCGAAATGGACCCAGCCGGGACTACCCGGACCGAGCGGAGCCAGGAGGACACCCGCACACGTCCACGTTTATTTCCCAAGGCATCTTGTCAAGTGTTGAGAAGTACTTGAGGGCTTCCTGGTGGCTCAGACGGGAAAAGAATCCGGCTGCAATGCGGGAGACCTGGGTACCATAGCCGGGTTGGGAAGATCCCCTAAAGGAGGGCATAGTCATCCACTTCCTATTCTTGCCTGGAGCATCCCGATAGAAAGGAGCATGGCGGTTTAGAGTCCATAGGGTTCCAAGGAGTCGGGCACGACTGAGCGACTAAGCACTCACACACGCACAGAGACGGTTTTACACGGCTTGGGTTGCACCATAGATTCTTCATTAGTTTAAATAACTGTAACAGTTTTAAGATAAAAGCGTAAAATTCTGTGGGATAATTACGTTGGAAACCAAGAAAGCTGCCTCTTAACAACAGAATTTCTGCGAATGAGGCTGAAGAGATTCAGAGGTCTGGAAGTTGAAACCTGGTGTGGCCGCAGGGCTGGGGGGTGCGTGAGGGTTGATGTGGGATGGTGGCTGGACCCAGGAATATTCCTGCGATTAGAATTAAGTACTTTTAAGTAAACAAGAACTGGATTTGTGTAGGAAAGACAAGCTAGAATGTGAAACACACAACTCTTCGAACTGCCTATTTTCTACTAACACCTGTAAGGAGAAAAATGTCTTGACATTCCGCTTCTTCAAGGATCAAGTTTAGTAGTCACTGCAGTGGCCCAGCGACAGTGCACCCTGAGGGGAATGCAGGACGGAGAAAAGCAGGCACCGTTCTGTGCTTTGGACATTCTGGCCTTGGTAGACCAGGAAGGACCGCTTGGGCCCATCCTCCTCTTCAGCAGGTCCATATAAGTTTGGGGAATTGTCTCCTGGTTTTCAGATCACCCAGTTATTGGTTGAGAACACCAAATTTTATTTGGCACTATATTAACATACTTAGCCCCCCAGTTAAAAGATACACGAGGATCCTGTTTGAAAGATACTGGGATTTCCTCAGTTGAAAGACACTTAGTGGCACCTCCCTGGTGGTCCAATGGTAAAAAATCCACCTGCCAATGCACTGGACAAAGGTTTGATCCCTGGTCTGGGAGGATACCACATTTACAGGAGGAACAAGCCTGTATAACACAAATACTGAGCCTGTGCTC